AATTAAACAGAGCAAATGTGACGCTGGGCTGGAGTTGTCTGCTGCAAAATCGTAGATCTCAGAGGGTCTTTTAAATATGCCTAACCGGGTTGCTATTTATCATCAAACATAGCCAAATGTTTGTCGTGTGTGAATATTTTAAAACAAACCTATCATGGTGTCTGAGTACAGAGTTAAGTCAATAGTTTGCAAACGTCCCTTTGTTTCTTTATATGCATTTAGCTACTGATATATCTTTTTCAATGAATGAAGCAGACCTGAGCACATACAATAAAGGAAAGCAAAAATTACCAGGTTTGGACTTCCCTTCACAGCCAGAAAGGTTCTGCTGAGTCTGCCAGCAGGGGATCTTGTGTATTAATACACTACCTGGAAGAGCTGACATGTTGAAAATGAGATTAACACCTTCTTGTTTTACATTAACTAAGGCTAAAGTGTCATTTGCCTTATCAGGAGAAAAATTCAATACTGTAATGATAGGGTTGCCAACAAGGTATGGTTTTACGAAAATGTTAAGAAAAGTAGGATTTTTTTTTGTGGTGATGGTGGTGGTGAGTCTTTGAAGATAAACACTTTGAGCAAGTAAAAGCCAAAATGATCAGGATGATGCGAAAACTAAATACAAACACGTGTAGCATGGCAACTCCTTTTCAGGCCAATGCTAATTGACATTTGGCTCACAGTAAACAACTTGTCAGAGCTCTTAAAAAAATACTAAATAAATGAATACACTATGTCAGAGAGTAGGCATGCCTTGGTATTTGTTGCCAATTCCAGACCAACCTAGAAACAGAAGAGCTAATATAAATGATTTATTCTCTCAGATATAAGATAGCACTTTTTAATTCCCTCACTTCACAATCCATCTAGTTATGTATTTACTAAAGATGAGCATTTAGATGAAAAAATATTAAAAATTCTAATGTAAGGAAGTCTCAAAATCATTGTCAAATATAAGTAGAAATGGAGTGAGAAAAGTGGGCCAGGAGTGGCTTGATGTCCCCCTGATCCAAAGGGATCCCGAAAAGGAACTGGTGGGCTTTTTTCAGGTTCAGAAGGCTAGGCGGTCATCCATACTTCATCCTCAGGTGACAGAACCCCTCCGCTGAGCCAGGCACTCTCCCAGGAGTGACAGAGGGTCCAGAAAGGAGGACATAACGTTCTTTGTCCTCCAGGCCTCATAGTCTAGTTGTGCAGACAGACATCCACAATAGTCAGAATACAAAGGAGACTCCTGCCAGAGCAGGGGCTTAAACACGTGGAAGCCACGAAGGAGGGAGAAGAATCCTCCTGGAAGGATCTGGGACAACTTCCTGGAGGAAATATGGTGTGAACTCGATCCTGCAGAATGGTAGGATTTTAACAGGTGGGAAGGGAAAATGGTAGAGAGGACTTTTCAGGTAAAATGGACCGATTCGTTATATTTTGACATCATGATCACAAAGAGCATTACGGTGAAATAGACACCTAAAATGTATCAATAGAAAATATGTTACTACAGCAAATACTGTCAGCAATTCACTTAAAAAAAAAAACAACTATCTATATGTGTATACTAAATATACAAGTGGTAAGAAAAAGGAAAAAAATTGAGACTTTTTTCTGCTTGCTAAATGTCTCCTATTCAAATCTTAAGAATAAAACACACCAGTAGCTATTGTTTCTATTCATTTCAGAGCTTTTAATTGCTGCTATCTGATGGGGTCTCAATGAAAAGGAAGGAGGAGGGGGGAATGAAAATGCATGCGATTTTCAGGAATGCCAACAATGTGAAGTTGGAATCTCACTCTAAGTACTTTCATTCATTGTTCCAAAGGTGACACTGGTCCTTGTGTTCAAAGGGACCTGGAGGAGAACAAGCAGTTTTAAGGTAGCACAAAGGAAGGCAACTTAATGTCTCCCTAAGGAGGAGCCGCAGAGGGCTGCGCTAGTGGAGAGAATGATAATAGCAATAATAACAATAAAAGAAAAAAGGTTGGGGGTGGAGTGGGGTGGGGACGGAGTCCTGATAACTTGGGATGAGGTGGGAGGAAGAGGTGGTGATAACCTTGGCAGGTGTTTGAGGAGGATTTGTAAGTGATGCAAACAGAGGGACCACGGAAGCTGTGAGGCAGGATGCAGGAACATATCCAGGGAGCTCCCAGGAATAATGGAGAGCATACATTGCATCATCAGGATCACTGAGACCCGAATCCTCTGGGGAAGTCGTGTCTTTTTTGTACTAAATGTTTTGAAGCTGAGCTTGGGGGTGGAGTGAAAGAGGAGGGGAAAATCACTGGGAAAAATTAAGCAGTCTGAAAGGAGTGTAAGATTATGAAGATAAATGTTTACCTCTCCGCTGCATTGTAGCTCTTGAAATGAAACTGTTTTTGAATAGTGCTGCATCAGTACTGCGAGAATGTGGGCATTGTGAACAAACTGACTGTCTCAGATGATTTGACACATTTTGATTTCTGCTTAGGAAAATATCTGTTAATCCTATTAGAAAGAGAAGGAGAGGGTCCTGAGCAGGAATGGAAGAGATCAAATCACTCATCATCTTGTTCACACTCTCCCAATGCCAAGGTCTTCAAGTCTCAGCTATTTCCAGAAGCCCTGGCGCCTCATCCCTGCCCTGCTGGGCATTACATCAAAACCCCATCTTCTCCACCTCCCCACCCTCGCCATGGCACTGGCTAAAATCAAGACAAGACTGGATGGCTGCCCTCTCCCTGGCAAACTAAAGCAGAAAAGAGATTTTATTTCACGCTTTCTCTTCGTGTAATTTTCCTTCCTTTCTTGCATCCTTCCTCTTAGTCTCCTTTTCTTCCTTCTCCCTGTCTCCGTCCCTTTCTTGTTTATATGGTTTGCTGTTTGCTAATATCCAACTCCAGACCATTCTTTGTGTTTGGCAAAGGAAGCGGTTTTATTGTTTGGTAACTCCAGGGGGGATATGGTGTCTATGATGTTGTCTAGGCCAAGCCTCCCTGGGGAGGGTTAACCACCTCTAGCCTATTCTCCAAAGAGGAAGGGTGGCTACTGCACGCTGGAGCACCAGCCATCCTCTTCAGCGAGCAAGCGGATCCGTTCCTGCCCAGAAGTGCCTTTGCTTCCCACAATGGTTATCTCAATGTTGTAATGCGATTTATTGGGACCAGTTATCTGGAATCTGAATCTATAGAGTGCAAGTTAGGAATCAGGGAAACAGAGGACATTTTTCTCCAACTACTTTCTGAAAAAGTTTCCTCTTGGAGCAACACCCAAGTCTGATCAAAGAGTCTGTTCATCTGTCTCCAGAGCCAACACTGGAGCCCAGCATGTAGCTAAAAATATGCACTCACAGTGCTAGAAAATTGTATTCATTAAACTCTCCCTCCAGGTCCTCACCCAGAATCTGCTCTATGCCAAAGCAGCGTGCTGCTGTTAATCCTCCTTTATAGATTAGGCAGTAAAATAAAGAGGGTGGGGCTGAAATGCAGGGAAGTCTGCACACGTGTTTGGAAAAGAAGAAAAGGAAAAGCACAGGGATTTCTTGTTCTCTCCTTCATGTTCCGAGTGCCAGGGTTGTCCAGACACCACTGAGACATGCAGGGCTTTTTCGTGTTCACAGTATTTTCACTTCCACGGGGTAAATGCTACATGTAAAATGGGAATTTAGAGAGACATCCAAGAAATGCCTTTCACACTGTGGCACACTGATTTCTGGAGCCCTCCTTGCTCTACTTTGTATGTTAAGGAGGAAATAATAATAGTCACAGCTGACACTATTGAGTGCTTACTGCGTGCCAAGCACTGTGGCAAGTCTGTTACATACTTAACTCCTTCCTCTGAGAGCCCTGTGAGGTAGGTCCTCAGGTCACTGCCATTTTGCAGAGGATGACATGAAGCTTTAGAAAGGTGAAAGAACTGGAGCAAGTAAGTGGTGAAGCTGGGATTTGAACCAGAAGCTTCTCAAGTCTTGCTCTTAACATCTATGCCATAATGCCATCTCTACATAGTTCCCCTAAAAAGGTCTTTTACGATTTTCATTTAAGATTTTGGTGACCGAGCCTCAATAATAACTCTGTTATTTTCTTAATCTTGAAAATTTTCTGCAATCAAATGGTAGGGTTCCTTGAAGGCAGGGACCATGTCTCCCTCACCTTTGCATCCCCTGCAGCCTTTAAAACAAAGTATCTTGGACAGAACAGGAACTAAAGAATTATTTGTTGAAATGCACTTTGCGTTATCTCTGTATCTAAATAAAGCCCTTCTGAACGAGTCCATTTCCCAAACACCAGGGTTTTCCTCCTCTTTGTAGCCATCCTCTTCTTCTTGTTTTGTTTTCGTAAGGTTGATTTTGAACTGGAGGGACATTGCAGTTGTCTTGTCACTTAGCGTGATTTGAAAGTGAGAGTCTGTGTAGGGCTTTCGCCTGCCCTCAGCAATCAGGCCTCACACTTGCGACGCTCTGATTGTAGGAGTTGCCTTATTTGCATTGATGAGGATGCGCCAGCTGCTAGAGCATACAGAACTGCACCTGACACAATCACCGAGTTCGGGATTAGCGTGGGGAATCAGGAATCCACTGCGTTGCGTGGCAATCTCAGCCCTACATTAGAGTCACTCATGCAAAATGACCCAAATTTGCAATGAGCACAATTAGCAATCCAAAGATGCATGTTAATTTGGGGGCTGATATTTTCCTACATTTCCCTAAATTAAAAATAATAAAGGGACTCTTTCCTAGACGAGTCTGGGCATGAAAATAATTCAGGGGATTGTGAGTTTGTAAGAAATGTGTAAACCCCATAAAATGCAGATTTCTTTGGGTAACTAGGCTCCCCCTCCATGCACACACCCGAGGTATTAGTTTTGGCATCAAATATGATAAGGGCTTTGTGGTGTCATGCTCCTCTTTGAATCAGTAGAAAATAGCTATTTACAAGGATAAAAATAATAAAAATAACAATAGCTATAATGTGGTGGAAAAGGAAAATTTAAGCTTTAAAAAAGTGATTTGTTATTTATATTATGTATTAATATTTCTGAAGCTATGTTTGGGTCACACATAAGCAGAGATACACTCAGTGATTTCAGGATTTCCTAAAAATGCTGGAGATTATGTTGAATTTTTATTAAATAGAGTTTATAAATCCGATGGAACATTCTCAAACCCTGGGCTGTGTTTCCATATGTCTGCGGTCTATAGGTGTTGAAATGCTCACCTATACTTTGGGAAAAAAACCACAACATTTTGCAAAAATTGAATAAATGATCATTCGAAGCAAAAGCATGCAGTTCAAAAGCTAAACCTCCCATTGGAGAACAGAAAATTTAATGAGCTTTTAATGGAATGCAATGCTCAGAGTAGTAAATTATTTGTTAGTTGACGATGCAATCAGCATGCTGATTAAGGTTGCTTGGTTTTTTACTAAACATTAACTGAATGAAAACGGGTAGTCCTTGTTCTGCTTGGGGGGCTTTAAGGAAGCAAATGGACTTTCAGAACAGAGATTGTCAATAAAGGTGAGTGCACTCCAGGTGTCATTTGAATATGATGATAAAATACTTCTGATAAATATTTAAAAGCATTTTAAATCCACAATGTTCGCCTAGTGTATTGTGGACTCTGTTTAAAGAAACAGTGGGCCTTAGCAGGCCTAACAACAATCCCTCTATCTCTCTCTAGAAGGAAGTATCTAGATCTGCTTTCTTTTATTGCAAAAGAGAAAAAAGGGGGTGGTATGCTTTGAAAATATAAGCCAGCACGGACTCTGGGGCCAGGAACTGTTTGCGAGTTTGGAATGTAAACCTAGAAAAAGACAAAAAAGGACAAAAATCAAAACAAAGGAAAATATTCTGACAGCAAATAAAAGAAGAGACATCTGCTTCTCTGGCTAGATTAAGATAAAAATTTAATTAAGCAGTTTCAATATTCTGATGTTTTAAAGTGATTGCTATTTGAATGCATATATATATATTTTAATTTTTAAATGATAGCATTCTGAAGGCAAGAAGTATTGTGATATTGGGGTTATATTCTGTCTAATTTAGGAGGTCTGAAGGGGAGAAAAAGAAAAAGAACAAAAACTGTAATGTGATGCTTATTTTTGTTGTTAGATTATTCATACAGAATTTATAAGGTATATCATTTACCATATATTAATCAATACATACATTAGATATAAATTATTGTTTCCGAGAGAGAGTCCCTTACTAAGGCTGTTTAAATTGCTAGATTTATTTTTGCCCCAAAAAGAGGACTGTTTTTTTGTTTGTTTTTCTCCCTACCAATTGAAGAATTATGGGTTTGTAGGTTAATTTTCTTTGAACAGCTACAAAGTTCTTTTTCTATAAATCCTAATTAGTTTCATCATCGGTGATTCTCTGGCAATGATCAGGTACCCTTAAAATCCGATAAATAACTACCTCTCACTTTTAACTATTCCTGTTTATGACCCAAGAGGTTAAAAGCCTTTGACTGGCATTTGACTTCTGACCTCATATAAATGTTATCTTATCAGTTCCTGCTTGTTAACTTGTATTGAGTGCTTGTCCCTGATGGCTTTTAGATAAAGGGCTGTGGGTTTTTTTTCTTTTTTTTTTTTTCCTTTTAATATATTTCCTAGGAACTAAACCATTTGCTTTGTTGTATGCCTAGTGCGCTCCAATCTACACAGTCACCTGCTATAAATCTGTTATAAAGCCCCAACTATACCTTTATTTATCCTCAACATTATTTTGGTTTGGCTTTCTGGGTGGGATTTTATGATTGAGAATATTTATTTATTGTAATTAATGGCAGGAATTACTAGCGATCTTAATCCTTTAACATGTTAGTCAGGAAGCTGGTTAGCTTGGTATTCTCTCTCTTTTAAAAAAATGCAAAAAAAAAAAAAAAAAATTTTAGCTTTGCATTTTGCACCAGCATGAGATGAGTTAGAGAGATAATTTATGGAAATCTTGTCTCCCCAGACTTCAGAAGTCCGCCTAATGAGAGAGTCATCAGTAAGATATATCTTTTTTAAAAGATCGAATCCAGACCATGAACAGTGCATTTTCGAACCTTTGGGGAGGAAGGTGGTGGCCTGGCACCCTCCTTTGCCCTTCTGTCCTAAGAATTAAGAGGGATTTTGGCCTTTTATTCCATTTGCAGCTGTGTGTGTTGTTCACACATTCAAGTGTGTATGTGTGTGAGTCCAGTCACTGTGTACAAATCTAAATACATTTGAATGTTTGCATTTTAATCTCTCTCCATACCTCGATGGCATCATGAGAATATTCTAGGCAGATGTTGGTGCCTCAGAGGCTGCCTCATTTGCAAATGACCTACAATGTGATTTCTAAACAAAATATTACATTAATTTCTATGTGGGAAACGGGCAGTAAGGAGGGGGAAGAAGGAAGAGGCAGCCATCTTGGAGTTATTTTGCCTTTAGCCTCCTTCTTTCTCCTCTTAAGCTCGATAGTAAGAATATTATTTTTATTTTTAATTGGCCTTCAACATAATGCAGGAGGCATGTACCAGAGACCTCTGTATCCATGTTTGGAGTAGAAAAAAGTTGTAACCTCTTTGGACTTTAAATAATAACTGCAACTATAGACAAACTACACCTATTATTCTCGATCCTTCTAAATAAATATACATATAAATGAAGCATATGCCACAGCTTGTAAGAGACCTGTACAGAACCTATTAAGGGAAACAAATGTCTATTTGCACCATTCATTTACTGCTATCTAAAGAATTAATATGTCAGTAAAGTTATCTGCCTTTCCTCCTCCCCCATTCTTTCTTTTCTCCCCAAACACACACATAAACACACATTCAGACACCCCCACTACGGAGAAATGGCAACCCTGGAAACTTGTTTTGTTTTTTTTTAAACAGGAATTCCCTTTCTCTTAGATCTTAAGTATTTAAGAAAGAGGGAAAAAAAAGACCAGCTTTTATTTTAATTTTATTTATATTTTCTGTGTGTAGAGAGCTGCTCTGGCTCTGTAATGTCCCAACACTGCTTTTATCATGCTCATATTCTGACAACACACAGGTTTAATGCAATTTGTCCTAACTTTTCATTTCAACCATTGCTTTTCTCAAAGTGGCCAGAGTTTAAAGACCGCAGAAGCAAAGGGAAAAGAAATACCACGGCAGGGGGAAAAACAAACCAACCCCCAAACTGGTGCTGGCATTCACGGCATTGACACATTCTCAAATGTTTTCTCTGTAGTTATAACACAAAAGCGCTTTCTTCCCTGTTTTGATGTGTTAAAGACGGGAAAGAGAGAGGACACTTGGAAGTGGTAAAATAAGTATTTGGAAGCTCAGGGAAGGTGTTTCTCCTGTGAATGTCCAGCATGTGTCAACAACATGTAGATACTTACATTTTAATATTAAATTAAATTTTTAAAAATGGAAAGGGAATGAAAAAGTAAATTTCAGCAAGTTGTGTCACATCCATTGAACTTTCAGCTGTCAGTGTTGCCTTCTTTTTTGTGTAATTGGAAGTGAATCTGAAGCCAGTCATTCTGCTCTCTCTGAAGTAACGATGACCAGGACTCCAAGTCTCTCTGCAAAGGGTGTGAGTGGATCAATAATGAATTATTGTCTAATTCTGGTATTTGGCAGAAGAAACCACAAACTTTTACTCTTTTAATATCAGTAATCTGAACTCATTTTTCTAGCCAATATTATTTGCAGATTGCTTTACTAAGTGAAACAAATAAGAATTTGAAAGACAAATCATGGGCTGATTCCTAAACGATCTCTCCTATTCCGAAGGCCAAATTCTCTGAGTTGAATCCCAGAGCCCTTGACCATTGTACTTTGTATCCTGGCTTTAAAAAACCAGATTTAAACATGTAAGCTAGATGATTTCAAAACTGGTGCAAGTGACACCACCACTCTTATTTATATTTGATTAATGTTTTAATATATAGTCGTAAGGCAGTATATCTAAGGCAGAAAAAAGTATTTACTTAAACCAGTTTCTGTACCAATCAAAATGAACTGCGCAAACATTTTTGATGTCATATTTTTAAGTCACTGTAGTTAGTAATACTTTTAAATCATTGTAGTTAGAGGAAGGAGAAGATGGAGGGATTCAAGGCCCTGTTTTTCTGTAGAGCTGGACCCTTAAGATTTATAAAGTGACCTAAGGACGTGTTAAAATATATTGTTTTTATATGTTTATATGTTCATAAACTTACCCTAAGAATATATTGAAAAAATATAGTCCATTTGATTTTTTTCCACATTCCTTGCCAAAAATCAAACCTACTCTGTTTGAGAAAAAAAGGAGACTTCTGTGATATTATGGACCTTTTTTATATTTCAGCAAAGAAGTTGAGGACATGGAGTCAGAAATATCAAAATTTTTAGGACCCAAGTTATCACTGGGAAGGTTTTATCCCTTTCTTTGTGAAGACTGATGCAGGTGGATTTCTAATATCCTTGGGTCTCTGGCCTCTTTTTTTTTTGTTTTCTTTATTTGTATAAATTAGTTTTGTCCTTTCTTACTAGAATGTTTAATTTGGGCACGCTCTCCCAGATGGATTCTCATTCTTGCTCCCCCCAACTTGTCTGGGTTTTGGAATGGGGAGTGGTTTTCCTTACGTAGAAAGCTTTGTGATTCAGACTCAGAGACCCAGGACCTTCTTTCTATCCATCTGAACGTGCTCAAAGGTCACACCCAAGATCATAAGCCGTGTTCGTGTCCTTCTTATGGGAAAATGATAAAATAATATCCACAGGCGTCTGGTACCAGGGGCATGGCCTGGACACACACCTTGCCCTCTTCCCCTTGGCCTCGCCTGCCCTGAAGAATGAACACATCCATCTCCAAAGTTGATGCTTCGAAGTGACCAGTCAGATGCAAGCAGGTCAGCTGGCTGTCCTCTTGGACAGAGGGTCCATAAATCAGAGAAACGTTGGTGTGGTTGAAAGAAGAAGGTAGTCCAGCCTGAGGGAAGCCACGTAAATCTCTCCCGGAGCATTGTTCCCGGTAGGGAGTGGGGGTGAGAGTTGGGGTACCTCCTGAGGCCGCAGGCTGTTATTAATGCCCTGGCCCTCCTGCAGTGGGTGCTAACTTGTTGTGCATGAGAGCTGCCACCACCCTTCCCAAACATCGGGCGCTTGGAAAAGTCAAGGACTGCTGAGCCCTGATTTTCATTTAATAGTCAAAACCAAGATGCATTTGGGCTATGATGATAGGACAGCTCCCTTGAAAAGATTATTTCAACTACAAAGGCATTCATTTAGGGCTAGCGATGTTGCAAAAGGGCCTGCTAGAAATTAGCAGCCTGTCCTGGTATTTGGAGAGCAAGAGTGACAACTTATTGGAAGTTCTCAAGGAATCATTTATATTTCACACTCCACTAGGCAGCTGATTTGAGATTGTCTGTTAGCATAACAAAGGCTCTGAGCCTGTGAACTTCAGAAACCTTTCGACCTCTTAGCTGCTGGCATGAATAGCCCCCAGTCCTGCCTATAGAGATCTCCCAAAGCTGCCCTGTTCGTGGCTAAA